ATTACCTAACCTTCTTATCGTCCCTGAAACTACCTCTGATATCGTTCGGTCAACAGTGTAATACTTTTGCAGGTCTAACTTTGAAAACACTTGGAACACAAACGATTGTCGAAGCCCCGTGTCGCCCACTTCGAACTCACCTGGTGCAAAAAACTGGACTTCATCTGGTTTTGCTGCAAGTCCTGTGTCCTGTCCTGTCCTATCGTGTCCTGAGTGCCCCGCTCGACCCGTGGCGGTTCTCATTTGAATCAAGTGCTAATCAGATGAATGGAAATTTAGTCAAAAACTCTTCCCGTCTAACTGGTGAGATAAAACCTTTCTGTTTGTTTGGGTACGGTTGGAGGACGTCTCAAAGTGGCGATGAATTGCCCTTGCATCGCAACTCGCCACTGTTACGCCTAATAGCCTGCCGCGTAGACCTTGTTTCTGCCATTGTTTTCACGGACTTCGTTCTGCTATCCGTAGCTGTACTCTGCCCACATGGTGCATATAGCTATCCATACTAAGTCATCGGAGAATTCCCAACTGCTAAGGCATGATAGCGCAAGCATTATATACTTCGCGGTAATCCATTCCGACGAAGGGAGTCCTCTTTGTGAACCGTGACCGGAGCTTCGGATTCAAACGTCTGGGGAGTAGGTCTAAAGCGGGGTCATGGAGGTACATAAGCTATTACACCACGTCAATGTACAGTCCGGTCACGGATTCGTTTAGCTGTTCCGAATATTAAAACATGGAAAAGCATTTCTCAATTTCCTGTCTACATTGCCAGCACTCCCCTAATGAAGAACAGATGTTCAATTCGAGCGTGCGGGTGAGATTAGATGCATCAACCGATCAGTTGAAGCGCTGAGCGAAACAATTATACCCGTCAAAGATGACAGATGAGCGTCTTCAACATGTCGAGTTGAAGGTTCGAATTATTCATTCCCTAGTGGCATCTGGTTCCTAATGAAGCCAATTAGCATATGGATGACAAAATTCGAAATGATGTGATTACATATACACACATGAATTTCATATTGGACAGGTGAAATAAATTACATTCGACAACCACGGGCGAGCTCGGTGGGAAGTGAAAGAATGCATGCATTGACTGAGTGAAACTGGATCAATAATGATAATATCAAGACAAATGTTTTTTTTATTGTTTCATTGGATGATATAAGATAATCGTGTAGAAACTGGGAACAATACTGTCTTACTCCCTTGGAGAATTCGCAGAGAGCTTTAGTACAAATCCGTTTGAATTGGGATACAGCAATTGAATGAACAAAGGTCAAAGGTTCGCGTATCTTGCGACCAGGTTCCAAATGATTGGTGTGAACCGATCATCTGACACCGTATTCCGTCGACTGTCTTTCGCAAGCGAACGGTGCGCGCGTGAGAACCAGGCTGATTTTCGGCCTGTTCGAGCTTGTATAGACCGCATCTTCACTCTCCGCCAAATTCTGTAACACAGACATTCCGATCATAGACCCACCCTTTGTATCTTCCTCGATCTGAAAGCGACCGTTCGAAACTCTGGCGCTGCCTCCCCCTGAAGGGATCGTCCGAAAAATTTATTTTAATTTTTAGATTTCTTTATACTAATAGCCAAAGCATTTTTCGCCCAAGTTCATCACACAATGAGATGTCTAACACGGTTGCACTCTCTCTCTCTGGCTTTTTCTACTAAACGTTGTCATAGATTTAATTCTTAAACAGCCCTATCCTCGTGCGAGGATTACGGCATTGATTTGATCCAAGTTGGTTAACTGTCTAATCTGGAGTATGAAGACGACATTTTACTGCTAAGTGAAGATCTAGGTAAGCTGCAAGCTTGCATGTTCGGTAAGTGTTTAGCATCTTCAAAGTGTAAAATATTGCTACAAGATTGGTTTGGTCCAGCACCCAGCCTCACTCTAACTAGGGAAGTATTAGAGCAAACGAACACGTTTTTTATTTGGGCAATCATATCTCACCCGTGGAGGAATCACGGATGGAGTATCAGCTCGTACACAGATGGCTCGTTTAGCATTTGTCAACTTGATCCATCTGTGGCGCCGTCGCGACATCCGGGTGTCTGTGAAGGGTCGAGTATATGCTGCGGCAGTTCGGCCAGTTATGCTTTACGGTACAGAGACTTGGCCACTAAGGGAACATGATAAAAACAGATTGTCGGCGTTCGAACACCACTGTTTACGTTGCATCGCACGATTCTGGTGGGGAAACCGGAAAAAAATGCTGACGTTACACGCAGAGTTGAGGTAATCGCGGTTGTCCATAAATTACGCTGGTTAGAACATATGTTACGCATGTCACTAGATAGGTTTCCATGGTGCGCGATGTTTGCCGAGAAAGGCAATAGATGAAAAAGGTCAAGGGCGCTCAAATTAACGCCTGGCATGAGGGTATGCAAACTCTAATCACGAAACTGGGTCACATAGGTCCCGTAAGGCTCCCTGGCTGGAGACCTCGAGATCATGGTCACCGGTTGATAGAGGCATTGAGTGATATGGGTGTCATCAACAGTGGCGCTCGTGAATCTTCTCCATTCCTTGGCAACCTTAGTCTAACTGGGATTCTGCATTTTTTCTCTGCGATTCCGCTTTCGACTTTTCGATCTTTCTTCTGTCTCTTCATCCAAATGGGAAGCCAAAGGATGGCAACCACAACCGGCGCACGAAAGTGTATGGTTATTGGTTGTGCAATCTCAATCTGTATCTAGGGGGTAACAGATCTCTTTATCAATAGATAATCACCGTTTGGGTTCTGTCCGTAAAGCACAGTAAACCCTGCTAACACTTGCTGGTGCATAGAAATAACATCCATTGAACGTCAGGATAATAGCTAAATAAGTAAATTGACCAATAAATACAACACCAAAATGCGAACTAAAAATATGTATTACTGTGGTCTACTTTTTAGCTTGTTCGGACGAAAAATTGGAATAAAAAATCTTCTAGATGAGGGTATACAACTCAGATGGAGCAGATAAAACCAGTGTGGCCGCGAAAAATGGTTTACTAGTAGCGGTTAGACGATAACAGAGAAAGAACAATTGACTTTTTGCTTACCCCGGCACGACTGGCACCGACTGTTGAACCTTCGGGTAATTGATTCTGCATTTTTACTTCGATTTTGCGCGCCACTGCTTCTGATATCCGATGAATTGCAGATGCACTGAGCAGAGGCCGATCCAGGTTCGGTGCCAACGAGGCCGCGATAAGTTCGTTGTCCCTTGTGATCACCATACCATCCAAACTACCCACCGAAATAGTCCGCTGCCGACGTTTCTCCTCAATAATCCGTTGCATAATTGAACCACTGCGGAATGACATAAAACATGTCAAATGAGATGTAATACCTGAAAGGTAGTACAATAATCGACAATAACAGCTGTTCCGTCAGAATCCGCAGAACACTAAAACTTTACAGTCAGTAATTATTAACGCTATATAGGGAGCAGCTCAATGTCCGTACAGCTCAGTTTAAACGACCGCTCATCATGCATTTTCGTGCCACAGTTTTCGCTGGTGTATTTAGGCTGTTTCAGGTCAGCACCATCATCCTGTTGCTATGCGGACAGTATTAAAACGTTCAAGGGTAATTAAAGAGCTAGAGGGATGCTAATGTATATTGGCCGATGAAATCTTTCGATGAATTCAACATAAAAGAAACCGACCCAGCCTCATGGAGGAATCAGTATTTTGACAATCAAATGATCCTTTCATAGACTGCAAATAGATTGTGCGACAGTTATACACAAAAGCGCCCAAACCGTATAGTTCAGCTATTCACAAGCAGATTCAAGAAAAACCTGGATGACCACTACCGTGGAACCGACACAATGGATGATAACAGAATCATTGACCGAGTTTCTCTCCATCGCAAGTAGTCCAAAGGTCGGATTTAGCAACGCCAGAACTAACCACTAGCTATTTAGAAGTGGGCACCAAAGCGCTTAGTTTATTCACCGAAGTCATCCTGACTCTGCGTGAACACGATCTAATAAAAGACCATCAAATGAACGGTTTAGCACAGTTCACTTCTTACAACCTCTCCACTGTCGGGTCATCCTCATCGAATGACATCATTCCCCGACATCTCTCATTGAGGAAATAACCATGAGCATTAGTACCAACTCCAAATCCTCATGTTTTGTAACAGCTAAACGAGAAACAAATGAAAATATATATTCGTATCACGACAGAAAGAAGGGATGTCACGAGATGTCAATGTTTGGTTTAATTTTTTCAATCGCTCTATCATCAGCTTGAATCTGCTGTCAACATTCTAATCTTCATTCTGCTTTGCATCCGAGTGGGTAACCAAAAGACAACAACCAAAACTAGCGTACGAAAGTGTATGGTTAATGGTTGTAAGAACTGAATTGAATGTTTGTGACACTCTTGTTGTTACCTGTTGTCCAACCGAGAGAAGATGGCACTCCAGCGGTGCACAGTTGAAGTTCACTGGGCATTCTATATACGTGACGCGAGCGGCACTTGCTAGCTAGTCAAGCGTCAGGTCCCCTGTTGCAGCTATTGAGTCCGATAAATATTTAAATGAACCCGATTCAGTGTGCTTGTCGGACAAACAAGAAGAAAAAGTGATCAATCTTATGCTGCCTAGGCGTTGACACAGGGTTACCAGTTTCAGTTTCAGTGTGTACAACCATTAACCACGCATATTCGTGCGCCGGTTTTGGTTGTTATCTTTCGGATGCCCATTTGGATGAAGAATAGGAGAACAAGGAAATTGGAAAGTGGAGTCGAACCGGAAATGGAGAAATTCAGTGGTCTGAGGTTGCAAAGAAATTGTGAAGATGCAAGAACGCCACTGTTTGCGAAACCCAGCCATATTACTCAGTGGCTCTAACCATCGGTTACGATCATCCCGAGGCCTCCATTCAGGCAGCCTTACCGGACCTATGTGAACCAGTCTCCTGGTTAGGGTTTTCATACCCTCATCCCAGGTCTTAGCTTGACCACCCTGGGCTTTACTCCACCCACCACCTGCTTAGGCAAACATCGCTCGCCGTGGCAACCTATCTGGTGACATG